AGCATCAGAACAACCTGGCCTTTCCTGCTAAAACTCTTTGTACTTCTGTTCCCCTTCTGCCACTGGAGCCTCCCGCGCCCTGAGGGATGGTACAAGTGCCACTGAAGTGTTGTCGGGACTAGCACTGAGGGCCAATGAACTCGGTGCATGGAGTCCCCGCTTGTGCCACAGCCATTAGCGCATCGCTCTGTAGTGGGCGCCTGCTGAGTAATCTTTCCTCTTCCTTGTCTAGGCGGAGCAGCTTCTCCCTCGGAAGACCGGGATGACCGCATCATGTCCATGAGATTCATTAAGGCTCTACTTCTGTGTGGGACTTCCTGCTGGAGGTCACCCGTCTGTGGCCCTCGAACTTTCGCCTGCTAAGAACAAAAAAGAACAAACGCCATATATCATCGAACAAAGTGTGATTAAACAAAGCCAAAAAAACTATCTTAGAACAGGACTTCTGAGTAACGGAATTGTTCATCCATGATGAGTTCCGCTTGTCTGAGATGCACTTGCTCTGAGAGAACCACGAGGATGCTGCGGTGAATGTTAACCTCTCTCACGAGGATGACGAGCGCTGTGACGTCACTGATTATGGTGGGCCAAGCAAGGTGCAGCAGTATTTATTTATGAGACGCTAAATCTTATTCCACCTAATTAGGCTGCGGTTATGTGTGAAGATGCATACATCATCAAATTATTTTATTGTGCGAGTAAGTACACCCTTACATTTTGACAGGTTCGAATAGTTTTCATCCGAAGACTCAATTCGCAGAGAAATCAGAAACCTTCATGATCGAAACAATGAGCTTATTCATGCGACGCTTCCCCCTTCCCGCTTTCGTATTCATTTCCCTTTCCCTTATCTCGTCCTTTCATCTTTCCCCTTCGCTCAATCTACGAGGACTTAGGCCTGTATTAGATTCTACTGGCACTGTGTGTCGGCAGTGATCCATCCCCACCTAGCAGTGGCTCCGTCGCATCATGCCTGCCGGGGAAGAGATCAGGTCGAGGGGCAGCTCGAGCGCTACGCGGGAATTTCTTGGAATGCAGCTTTCAGCATGTGCCAAGGGAAAGGCACGGTTTGTACTCGTAAGCTCCTCAGAATCCATCGTGCGTATTGCAGTTGAGACCGGATGGAAGGTAGATCGTAATTTATTACTATTTTTAGATGAAATGACAACAACGTTTTCATTCGGCACACTCAGTACACAATTACGCCCTGTTTGTAGTGAATATGTAACTTAATTCTAATATATTTTTAGATACAGGTATGTTTGTATCACAGTATATAGACTCGCAGATATTGCCTGAGATTAATTTTATATCTTAAGAAGCACTTGGGAACAGACTAGAACCGCACGACGGCATCGGTTACAGGGCTTGAACCTGCGTGTCATCAGGCAGGCAGGTAAAGTTCACACAGTATGGACTCGCGTGTGGTGATTTGCATCCTGATTGTGGCATTACATACAGAAAGTAATCTCGTATTGACAGATACGAGGAAATGTCATTTAAAGAGTATATATTGCAAGTTCTGCGTTCAACAAAGGGTAGCTACTCGCCAAGATTGACTGATTAAACTTACATCAGTTAGCATAAACTCATTCTTCTTCCCAATCAAAATACTCAGAGAAAAACATGTGAAACAGATCCAGCCCTCGTGATTTTCCCAAAGCCGCAGGAAACAGCCGAGGAGTCAGTCATCCCGTGAGCTGTAAGTAACCAAGCAACCGCGGGCCGTGGCAGCGGCGAGCGAGGAGGCGACTGGCCGGCCGGGCGTCGCAGCCGCGAGTGCAGGACGAGGCAGGCCGGGCCGGGGGGCCGCCGGAGCGACTCGACGGCCGAAGCAGCGAGTCGAGCCAGTGTGAGCTCGGCAGCGGGCGAGGAAGGTAGTGCGAGTGAGAGCGTTCGCGCACGGGCTTCTTGGGACTTTGAGGGGGGTCGTTGCGATAACCCGTGCGTTCTTCCCCGTCATCAAGATATTTCTCTCCTGTAATAAAGAACAATAACGAACGTATAATACGCGACCGAGAGCAGCTAAAGCTCCCCTGGATTCCTGTATTTTATAATTTTTGGTTATTGTTGTTTCTGTGATCTGATTATGAGTAGTGGAACGAGATAAGTGTCGTCCTGCAGTGTGGGCGGCTTTTTGGAATAGTCTTAAATCGAGTTTCCGTCAGCGGCCTACATCTCGAGCGGAGAAGCGGGATATACACACATCTGCCGCGAATTAGTGCCCACACCAGTTTTGAAAATGCAAGCAAGATCATGTATTTATTCAGCAACGAAAATGGATAAAACGAGTTTAACAACATGCTGAACCACTAACTTAAAGTCGATCTAAGGAGGAAAGAAGAGGAGGGAAGCCTTCCAGCAATTGCATTTCAACTTATTTGGAAGGAATATACATAAGTGCACACCATCGCGCCAGGAAGGCAGGGCGAGCGGCAGCAACATTTCTCCAGTCGCAGAGGATGCGAATGCTATTTCCCTCGACGGTCAACGAGAAAAG